GGACAAGACTTGTGGGAGCCCTTGCGCTGTGGGAAGATGGTGCCAAAGTCTGAAGGTAGGTGCTGGACTGCCACAGACTGGGGGGTTTCAAACTGTTTCATATTTCCCACAGCTGGTTATGTCCTAGGGATACAGAGTTTGGAGCAGGGGAGGGCAATTATTTCAGCTACAGGGCTGCTTAAAGAGTTTTGGTGAGATATCGAGGCCTGCCTTTAACAAGCGCCCCCTCCCCTAGGTGCCATTTTGGGACCCCCCACCATGGGTGGGATAAAGCCCCTCCAAAGGCGAGATCTGTCTCGCAGGACAGTTTTTGTTCCCCCTGGTATGGAGGGACCTCCTGTCCACTGGAAAAAATGGGGATGCTGGGGATTGAACCCAGGATCTCACACATGCAAAGCATGCTCTCTACCACTGAGCTACATCCCACCCACAGCTATGCTGCTCTCTGCTTCTCACTCACTCTCACTTTCTCCCCCGACCATGGCCCATTGGCCATGTGCTAGAATCCATGTTTGGAGAGCTGCAGTCCTCGCTCACCTTCCTATTGACCTGGGCCTTTGTCTGCTTTCAGTGTTGCCCAGGTGTAGGGCAAGGCCATGCTCAGGCCTGCTCAGGGATGCAAACTGTACCTAAATTTACTGACTGTCAGTCAGTTGCTGAATAGAGAGCAGTGAGAGTTGGGCTGGTGTGTGTCTGGGTGTGTGTGCAGCGAGAAGAAATGGGAGACTGATAAGAAGGGTGAGTGAGTGCTACAAAATAATATTTAGAGGTTTGTTTTTAGGAATTCTCTTACAGCTAGAGTAGATATGCATTAGAATAATGGTCCAAGGGAATTGGAAGGCTTAATTGGTTTCTAAAAGCCTGTATGTGACCATTTCTTTCATAGTCCACTCTTTCTGAAGCAAGCAGGCATACATTTTGTGGGGGAAAAAACATCACAACAGTGCTACATTTCATGATATGCTTTGCCACACTGGGGACATGTCACAGTGACCAGCTGCCGAGCCTTTGGGATTTCCAGTTTTGGTGGACAGACCATTGTCATTCTGGCACATGCCCAGCTTAAGACGCCAGTCAAGGTTGTGTGCATGTGATGGGTTAGGGAAACAAAGGAACAGGCTGACTGGACAGACCATGGACAGTATGACAACCACACTGAAACCAATCAATGATGCCTGTGGCAGAAATGCCACCATCTGTGTCTTCCTCCAGAAATCTGTCCCAGTCAGCTTGGGACACTGGGGTCAAATTCCTAAGGGCAGGGAGGAAAATCCCCCCTCCTAGGTGACAAAAGCCTGGTGCTGAGGGTGTGGTCCCTCTGGTCACCTGAGTGGGGGAGGGAAATGCCCCTGCTCCTCTGACCAGATAACCAGTGATGCTTTTTAAATTGGTTGGCTATTGTCCCAGTGACTTCAGTGGAGTTACACCAATTTATAGCAGCTGAGGATTGAGTCCTGCTTCCATCAGGACCCTTATAATATTGTCATTCATCAGGATTTTCGACTAATTACTTCTTTGAAATGGGGGGATCTGCTATCCATCTTCTGCTCATTGCAGCACCAGTTTAGAAGCCATCTAAAGCTGTAACCAGAGAACTCCCCTGCCTAAGTGCAACACGCTGTTAGTGACCACCGTGCCAGTTCAGGCCTTGCGCTAGATGTTTCTGCACACTTTGGCATAGAGTCTGGGTCAAGATGCCAATGCGGTGCCAGTCTCCAAGAAAGGAAGGAAGAAAGGCCAATCAAATGACAGGCCTCAGGCACCACCAGGGGAACAAGCACACAGCCTGTTGGGCACAAAGCTCTAGGGCAGAAGTGCAGGCCTGGGCAGAGATAGTTCCTGTTCCTGCCGGGCACCCTGTGGCAGTGAATGAAGCCCCATTCAACCAGAGGCATCCTGTCCTGACAAACCCACATGCCAGCTCGAGTGCTGGCCAGAGCCAGGGAAAGTAAATGGCACCATTTGTTATGGGGGACAGACAGAAGGCTATCACAAGCAACATTTTCCACTAGCAAGAAATGAGCCTAAGGGTTCAAAGAAACAGGGCTAAACTAGGAGGGGAAGGAAAGCAGCATGGCACCAACTCAGGGAAGCCAGCTGAACACGTTGCTAAAATTAATCTTCCGCACCAGGTTGTGGGTGGCCCCTAAGCTTGAGAGTCACTTCCTCCTGCCTCTGTTACTCTGTTCCTTGCCCAAAATGACGCAGCCTGAAGTCCAGGCCAGCCTCTCTCTCTCTCACCCCTGAGGGAGATCTTGCCTTGGGGGCTCTCCCAGCAAGAGCAATCCCAGCTCACGTGCCACTTAGGGGAGCACCTCAGCAAAGCTGCTGTCACCTCTACTCTGATCACCAAATCAAAAGCTGCCTCTGCACCTTCTTCACTCCACTCCCCACTTTGAAACCGTTCTTGTGATAGCTTAACTCCATCTACCCCCTTGAAACACCCCAACAGCAAGCTTGCTTTTGAAAGAGAAATCAACATCTCCCAGAAACATGAGGGTCTTCCCAACATGGGAGATCAGCCAACAGGCTCCTCTCCATGCTTTATTATACCAGCTCCCCCAGACTGCCATTACGGTGAGGATGACCCTCCCTAGGCACTGTGGGTGCAGGTCTTTGCATCTATCACTTTCCAACAAGGACAGTGACATCCAGAGGCCCCACAAGCAGTTTCTGTGCTCTGGGCAGGGACAGCAGTCTCTCATCTTCCACCCCTCCAAGTCAGTACCTTGCTTGCCCACACACCCTCCAATCATCCTCAGCTTCAAAACTCACCTGTATTTGCAAATGAAATGCCTTGATCTGTGACATGACTAACACCCAGAGGCCTGGATTCCCCCTCATTCACCAAATAGTGGCAGCAGACAGCTCCAGTCTTCTTGGGGCTGCTGGGCAGCTGTGGCTGCTTCCTTGACATGAGCCTGTTTGCTCTTTATGATTCCGTTCCATTTTCTGCAGTTTTCCATAACCCATTGCATCTTCTTCTTCTCACCATGCCCCAGATGTTGGATCATGCTAAATTGGCCTCCACTGCAAAACACTGTGGGTTTTCCATTGAGATCACACACTCCAGTAAGGACATTCCTAGTCCCTATTGAAGTAAAATCCTGGTAGAGACAATGCTGTAGTTTTTTACCTTGATGGACCCATGTATGGCCAAACCTGCCTGTGGGCAAATTTTGATCAATGGTTTGGTTTCCCCCTTCCCCTTTTGGGGGGGTCCCCCCCCCCCCCATTTGTTTTATTGAGAACATCAGGAAGTATCTTGAGGACAAACATGCCTAGGTCCATCCTCTCAGAGTTGGTCCATGGGCTGCTCTCCAGGCACGGAGAGCAACCCAGGCCTTGGCACATGTAGCCAGCCCTGCCACCACCACCTGTGCAGCAGGCTGGGGGCAGTGTGGCCACCTGATTCCATTTCCAACAACCCCAGTAGTAGCTCCTTCCAGCTATTGCTGCTGGACCCAGCCTAGGCTGACCACCTGCTCAAGAAGGGAAAGGCAAGACACCTGCCCACCTCTGGTGATTACACAGAGCAGGGGCAGATGCCAATTGCATTCTACAGGCTCAGGATTCCCTACCCTGCTGCCTTTCCCTTGGGAGCCCACACTGGCCCTAGACTGCTGTAGGGGCACAACTCCATGCTGCTGGTCCCTTGCTGCTGCCACCAGGTGGGCACAGGGCACCTTGCCATAGTGGTACAGTCCACATGGGGTTCCCAGGAGACAGCAGCAGAGCAGGGAACCCTGAGACTGCAGCAGGCAGCCTGCATCCACCCCCACCCTGCTCTGAAGTCTTGAAGGACACATGCCCCCTCCACACCCCACCCTGGGGAATGCACAGTGACAGGGAGCTGCCCAGACCCCATGCACCACACATGCACATGGCCCCCCTGCATCCTGCTGCTGGCAGCCTTTTGCAGGCTGGAACACTGCCAGCCTACAAAAGGAAGCCCATCATTTCCCACAGTGAGCAGAAACCCTATCTCCCTGCATGATGTCTGGGGTTCACAGCAAATGTCATCTCCAAATCATGCAGCCTGGGACTTGGTGTTCTCATTCCAGGACTGTCCCACCCAATTAGGGATGGGTGGGAAGCCTAGCCTGGCTCTACTGGACAGATACCCCAACCCATATGCCCCACACCCATAGCTGGGTGCGGAACCCGTGTGGGCTGGGTGCATGGCCGGGTGACTAGGATAGGGCTGTAGCCAGGTGGGGAACTGCAGTCAGGAGCAGGAAGGGAGGTGGGACCAGGAGTTGTGATTATGGGGCAGTGACAGCATTGGACTGGGGCCGAGCTGCTGCCCACCATGCAACCAGAATCAGTTCCACAGGCAAGGATGTGAGGAGGGGATCATGGCTCTTGCTCAGGCCCTGGCCCCATGTTCTCACAAGCCATCATCCTGGTCCCAGCCCCAACCCCAACCCCTCCTGCCCTCCCACTCCCAGATGCAGATCCCCACCCACCTGCTCAGCCGTGTGCCCTGCTAACTCTGGTTGGCCTGCCTTTAGCCCCAAGACTTGTTAGGAAGG